GAAGTTTTAGAATCATTGTTGTTATTTTTCAGTGGAGGTGTTTGTTTTGGGGTGGGGGTGAGGTGGAGGAGGGGGGAGTTGGTGGAAGCGGAGGGGAAGGGGGGTAGGTGGGGAGGAATATTATTGTCTTGTATCGTGTGGTCTTTCTCTGAGGACTTTAGGAGAGTTAATTAAGAAACATAAAAGGATCTTATTAATTTTTTCTCAGCCAGGTGATGGAATATATACAGTACTTCTTATCCTCTTGGTACACATAACCTAACCTGACCTAACTTAACTTAACCTAACCTAACCTAACCATTAGTACTGGGGCCCCAAACTCTGTGTGTGTGTGTGTGTGTGTGTGTGTGTGTGTGTGTGTGTGTGTGTGTGTGTGTGTGTGTGTGTGTGTGTGTATATATGTGTGTGTGTGTGTGTGCGTGTTATTATTGTGTGTGTGTGTGTGTGTGTGTCACGCTCAGGAGGAATAATTGTTCAAATAAACTAATTTTTGTGCCATATTGGGCTAATGTGTTTATATTAACATGAACTAATTGAACTAACTTTAAATACGTTTGTGTTTCTTGAATCTATGTCATAAGAGGACCATTAGGACAAACGCTGGGACAATTAACCCCAACACTGCAGAACTATCATAGTCTACCATCTCCATCCAGCTGTGTTGTGAAATAAATAACCACAACATTTTTTTAAACACGGATGTGAAAATTACAATATATCAAAAAATCGGATGGACATTTATTTAATGAAACGGTAAATGTGGTTTTAAAACAATCGTTGAATATGATTTAATTGTGGTTATGAATAGATAAAACAATATATGAGTAATATAATTTGCATACAATGTTTACCAGGTGAACTGTTATCTATGGTCATAATTCAACTGTCTAACTTAATATTATTTGTTGATTCAATGTTAGTTTAAATGATAGTCCTTTTTTCAATTTTTTTTTAATTATTTTTTCTTGTTTTTTTCTTCTTATTTTAAAATTTATTAATCGTAAGATGGCAAACAGTTTTCTACTCTATATACAGTATATTTCCTCCCTCCTCCCTCCTCAGCCTCCCTCTCTCCCTCCCTCCCTCCCTCCCTCCCCACTCCCTCCCTCCCCTCCCCTCCCTCCCTCCCTCCCTCTCTCCCTCAGGCCTCTCTTTATCTCTCCCTCTCCCACTATCTCCCTTCCCCCTCCCTCCCTCCCCTCCCTCCCTCCCTCCCTCCCTTCCCCCTCCCCCTCCCTCCTCACCTATCTCCCTTCCCCTCCCTCCCTCCCCTCCCTCCCTCCCTCCCTCCTCCCCTCCCTCCTCCCCTGCACTCCCCTCCCTCCCTCCCCTCCCTCCCTCTCTCCCATCGACCCTCTCCCTCCCTCCCCTCCCTCCCTCCCCTCCTCCCCTCCCTCCCCTCCCCTCCTCCCTCCCTCCCTCCCCTTCCTCCCTCCCTCTCTCCCTCCCGACCCCTCTCTTTATCTCCCACCCCTCCCTCCCTCCCCTCTCTCCCCTCAACCCCTCTTTTTTATCTCTCCCTCTCACTATCTCCCTCTATCCTCCTCATTTTCTCTATCTCTCTATCGCTCTGCTTTTCTCTTACTCTCTTTATATATCTCCCTCTCACATTATCTCTCACCCTCTCTAACTCTGTCTCTGTCACTGTCTATAATTCTTTTTATCTCTCTCTTTTTCTTTCTATCTCTTTCCCTCTCTCTCCCCTTTTCTCTGTATCTTTCTTTCTCTCTCTCTTTCTCTCTATCACCCTATTTCTTTAAGATTCCCTATAACTCTCTCACTCTCTCTTTCCCTCTCTGTCATTCTTTCTCCCCCTCATTATCATCTCTCTCTCTCTCTCTCTCTCTCTCTCTCTCTCTCTCTCTCCAAGCATCAGTAGAATAAACACACACACACACACACACACTACTGATCACTGGGCGTTGATAGCGTGTCGGACTAATGAAGTGTGGACCCAACTTTTGATCAGACTCTTTCAACAAGGACCCAGACTTGAGATGCATAACTCTTATTTGATGAAGTGAGTGATATGACATGTGTGGGAGATGTGAGATGTGAGGCACTTAGGAGATGAGGTGAGTGAAATGACATGTGTTTGAGATGTGAGATGTGAGGCACTTAGGAGATGAGGTGAGTGATATGACATGCGTTTGAGATGTGAGATGTGAGGCACTTAGGAGATGAGGTGAGTGAAATGACATGTGTTTGAGATGTGAGGTGTGAGGCACTTAGGAGATGAAGTGAGAGGTCGGAGATACACTTAAGACATGACTTGTGAGATGACATGTGTGAAAGACGTGAGAGTCATTCTAGATGTGACTGCCGTGATTGATATGACGTCTGGAGTCGAGTTTCTCCATGTTAAAGTCAGATATGTACAATACCACACTTTATCACACCCACACACCCACACACCCTCACGCTCACACTCTATCACACCCACACACCCACACACCCTCACACTCTATCACACCCACACCCCACACACCTCAAACACCCA